TTTTTAACATTATATTTTATCTATCTTATTTTCAAACATAACAAAAAAAATTAAATTACAACATTAACACTTAAAATATTATCTAAATATAAAATAAATATTATTATTCAAAATATAAATTCTTAATAGTCAATAAAAATAAATTATATATTTATAATGCTTAAAATCTAACCTTACTGCTCTGGTTGCTATTTCTTCTCAACCTTCAACTTGCTATTCGATCCTCAGCTGAATGGTTATTGTGTGAAAGTTTCGTATTTATACACATTTAAATTTGGACAAAAGAATGTATCAAAATTTTTATCCACTAGTCATATTAAAATCGAGTTTAGTTAGACGATACTAGAGTCGTCTCTGTTGTAGACGTTACTAAAATCGCTCCAAAATAGACGACATAAGTTCCTGGAGCGACACGTGTTGACATCTCATGAGTGTCAGCTATTAATGAGACGACATTCTCATAATTAGTCACGTCATCCGTCGTCTTTGTTCTAGATGATTTTACTGTTATATCACTCGTCAACCCTAAATTGATAATTTATTTGCATGCAATTCTATTTTGATAATTTATTTTTAGAATAATTCTAAAAGAATAAAAATCCATCAAAATATAATACAAGTAAAAAAAAAAAAAAGAAGGATTATTTAGATGTACAATAAAACTCTAGGCGCTTTTAAAGTTTTCTAAATTCTTATTTATTTATTTTTATTATTATTTTTTATTTTTTTATTAACGTTGACCTAAAGTTGATTGAAATTTGCTACGTCACCGGTCTATCGCACGCAACTTGTAAAAATCAAATATCTTTCCGCACCTGATCTGAATTTTAGATTTTTGCGTTAAAGCTTTCCAATACCTATTTGAATGATGCATTCGGATGTCCAAAAAGTTTAGTTAGTTCATTCTTTTTTTTTTCTTTTTTTTCTCAGTCCAATTATTTTGTTACTGTAGTGTTAATCATTTATTTTAATTTATTATTATTATTTAGCCCAATTTTGTTTAGTTTCTAAAAATATAAATTATTTTTTTTATCATTATTATTTATATTCTAGATTTTATTTTATTTATACAATTTGTTCTTTAGTATTATTTTATCTTTTATTTTTTATTTTATTTTATTTTTCTTAATTCTACTTATTTTGTTTTATTTAGCAACAATAGTTAGAATAATTATAATAAAAAGTATTAAAATTTATTAAGTACAATATAATTTTTTTTATATTTTTTTAATATTTAAGTTATGTTTTTATTTATAAAATTTATCTCATTCCAACATGAGTAATAAATTCGCTCTAATTTTTTATATTATCTCGTTATTTATATCTTAATTATTATGTTTGTTATTTACCATAGAGTTGTTATCTTTTTATTTTTGTATATTTACAGAATGTAGATGATGATTTAATTTTATATTTATGATTTATCTTTTCTTATATTATGACTATATATATAATTAATAAATGAATAATAATGTAATTGTATCAATTTATAATACTAATGTATAGTTTTTTTATCGTCATGTATTATAAATTGATAAAGTCTATGTGTATCTACATTATCAATACTTTATATAATATTAATTCATCATGTATTATCTTCAATTAATTAGTTAATCATCTTAACAATTAATCAAGATATATTCTCATTCTAATTACTAACTTATGAATCAATTAACTAATTTCGATCTAAATTGTTTTATTAACAAAACAATTTATAATGCTAATGTTTAGCGACTCTATATTTATGCGTTATAAATTATAAAAAATTTATGTGTACCAATGTTACCTTAAGTTTTATATGATATAAATTTATCAAATGAGTTTTAAATTTTTTATTAAATAAGTATCTTTTTTAATCAATTCAAAGATTTATTTATTTATTTATTTTTAAAAAATAAATTTAATTTCATATTTTAAAATTTCTTAAGTCATATATCTAATTTTGGTAAATTAAATAACTAAATATTTTCTTACTTATTTATACAAATTTCTATAATATCGAGGTGTAATTTACATTATTTTCAATTATCCAATAGATAATAAGAGATTTATGTATAATTTATGCTATCTTAAATTTTCTTTCAATATTAATCATAATCAAAATTAAAATTTAAATACTTCATTTATGAATAAATATTTTTAACGATTTATAATATAGTTATATAATTTTTCTTCACCATTTGTATTGTTTCTAATAGGGTATACATATAACTGCGTTATCTTGTATCTTAAATATTAAAAATTTATGAAAATTTTAATCTCAAAACAAATTTTTTTTAGTAAACTTAATTTTAATCAACCAACTTTATAATTTTTAAATAGAACTACGTGGCTTTGAGTTCTCTATTATACCTATGGATACGCAGGAGCAGAAACTGTACTCGTCAAATCAAAATATTTTTTAAAACTAAATTTTCTCTTTACAAAGATACTAAACAATATTTCAATAAATAATTTTTCTTTTTTTCTTTTTAAATAAGATAACAACATTTATTGTTTTGGGGTTAAATAAATAATTTTCAAAATTAAAATAAATTTGCACAATTAATTTGAGGTAACCATTTTTAAAGGGACGTTGTAGGGTGCTAATATCTTCTCTATACGTAAATAATCCTCGAACTCATTTTTGGTTTCAAAGATAATATTATTTTAAAACTTTTTCTAATATTTTCTTAAAATAAACTTTGGTGGTGACTTTTCTGATTTTTTAAAAAATATTTTTTATTCTTAAAAGATGTTTTTCTTAAACATGTTTTTTGCCGTAACGTTATGACCTCTCGATTGCGACAATAATTATACTCTCTTTGCATTGTTATACTTCAGATTGTAATATTTGTAAGTGGAACTAATTAAATTTAAAAATATCAATGCTACATCTCAATTCTCTTAGTAACAAATAATTTAACTAAATTGAAATATGGTTAATGACTAAAGAAATGTGGTTAAACACTAAAAAATGCAGGAAAATTATTCTCTATAAAATTTGCTTAAGCTAAATTTACACACCAATGACCATACAAATTCACCAATTTTTACTTAAGCAACTCTATTTCATTTAAAATAAAAATGCAAAAATTATTTGTTTGCATAATTTGCTTAAGTTGGATAAATTTTTTTAAGTTAATATTTCTCCCTAAAATGAAAATTATATTCTTAAATTACATTCAATACCAATTAAGCAATGTTCTTTGAGTGAACAAAGATCTAAAATAACTACGTTTGAATGTTGAAAGAGCAATTTTGTAAATTTTTTATAAAGTATTAAATTATAAAATTATGAAAATTAATATTATCAAGTGATAAGTGCCAAATTTTTAGTTAAGTGTTGCATGAATTTAAACGCTTATTTACTTCCATGAATTGAATTTCGATTTCAATTTTATTTTAATTTAAAAGAATTTGATTTAAGTAATTTATTTGGCTTAGAGATTGAGATGAATAATTTTCTTAATCCCTTTTTGTTAAATTTCTTGATTAATAGGAATTCAATGAAGATGGAAGGCAATGAAAGAAAAATTGATTCTGATCCTTTTTCGTTCAAGTGAAAAGCCCTCACTTGAGTAAGAATGCGTGAAGCAGACTTGAATTTTTGCCTATTTTTTGCTCAAGCAAGAGATTCTTGTTAGGCAAGAATGCCTTTATAGTCTCAACAATTTTTTTTTAGCTTATACCAAAATTCATTACTTCACAGTTAAAGAAAAAATGATAAAAAAGAAAGAGGGATCTAAAGAGCAGGAAAGGAACCACAACAAGAGGAACACTAAGACACACTTTGGAAGAAATTGAAAAATCTTTCTTTAGCCATTTTTCTTTTGTTGTAATGGATGCTATAAGCAGCTTTTTGAGATTAGATATAATCTTTTATTTTGAAATATTTTGATAATTTATATATAATTATTTATTTTTATAGATGTTAGTGATTTTATTTTTTTTCTTAATATTTGATTCTATTTTAAATAATAGTATTTTGATTTAGGATCTAAGGTTTAATAAGAAAAATTTTAAAAATAGATTGATTGAAACCCATTTAGTCACTTGATGTACTGTGATGCTAAGGATAAATTTCAATACATCAATTACTTTTTGACTTTATTTTTAATATTAAAAGATTCATTGAATATTTGAAAAATCAATATTCATTAAATACTCTTAGGATCTTGTATTTAAGGAATCCAAAGAAGAAATATTAAGATAGTACAACTACGTCTATAATTTAATTTTTATATATTTATTCATCAAAATATATGAAAGAGGATGAATGATGGAATCTAATCTAACTCAAAGCTTAATATTTTTATAACTTAGTTTATTTTAATCCTTGAAGTTCTAAATCTCTTAAATCATGGATAATTTGTATAAAAAATTAATATTTTTTTAATTTTAATTCAAATAATAGAAACTATAAATATTTTTTATGAATAAGATAATTTTTACTTATTTACTAAAAACGAAAGTTTGGTTTGTTTGTCAAAATTTTAATATTAAATAAAGATAAAAATTTAAACTAATAATTTTTTTTAAAACATATCTGACGAATTAAATATGTTAAGTTACTTGTTCACAGTTTAGTTACTAATTATTTTAGTTTTAGCCTAAAATACGTAACAATTAAATACCAATTTTATTTTTTTTAAACCGGCTTGCAACAAATTTTCTGTAATAAATATTTCACGGCATTGTAGACAATATCTTCCTTTGATATGGATATGGATATAATGAGCCCCCATTGAAAAACCTACTATGAAAGAAAAAATCAATTTATATCTTATTTACGCTCCATTTTTACAATCATATTATTCATGATATTTTTTACCAAATTTCCGTGCATTAATGTGACAGCCACGAAGAGGTGGGAGAAAGTTATAACTTGAAACAAGTTTATTATGATTATTAAGTATTTAATGTATTTTTATTTAAATAAAAAATGTTTTAATTTTTTTCTTATAATTATATTAATAATAAATTAGATATATATATACAATCCCAAAAAAGTAGTAAGGGGAAGCTCTTGGTTTTGCCGCAATTTTTCTGGAGGAGAGAAATCTATCACGATCATCCATTCTCTCTCTCTCTCAAATTCAATTCGCTATACGTGTTACTGCGATCACCTATTGGTTTCGCATATAAGTGCTTCTACTCTTCAATTTTCTTTTGATGGTTGTTTGCATCTTTCAATATACAAAATCCTAAATTCACTTAACACCTCTTCGATAGATCTAATTTGGATCGAGGAATCAGACACTGACTATGCATTTTCCTTAATTAAAAAAAACGAAGAAGAATCGATAAATATTAGTGACATCTTATTTGCCTGATCGATTTGCCACATCAAAGCAAAACCTGGTGTTGCGATTGCTGTGTTTTATGTCAGATGGCATCGCAAGGAAGATATAAGAGGCATCAAGAGAAGTCTCAAACAAGCATCTCTAACAATGGAAGAAATTCAGTTCCTGCCAAATTCTCAAACGATACGGAGAGGCTTCAACATATTAACAGCATACGCAAAGCCCCCGTAGGGGCTCAGATGAAGCGTGTTATTGATCTACTATTCGAGGTATAACACTCGCATCTTGAATTATTATCACAAATTCTTGTGTTACATTTGATAAATGCCAAGTTCAATATCATATTACTTACTAAGAATATTATATGTAATGTTTTAGGTATGAACATTCTTTTCCTGTTACCCATATGTAAGATATTTTATGCCTGGTGATATTAGTGCTTGTGCTTGCTTTACAGACCCGACAGGCCTTCACAATAGAGCAAATAAATGAGGCATGCTATGTGGACATGAAAGCTAACAAAGATGTTTTCGAGAGTATGAGGAAAAACCCGAAAGTAAAGTTTGATGGGGAACGGTTTTCTTACAAGGTAATTTTTATTCACATACACATCATGTAAGGCTTCATGTGTCCATTTTTGTTCTTTTTAATGTCTTCTGTGATATACCATTATTTTTGTTTATGACCCTTGGCATTGCTTTTGGTCTATAGTCAAAACACGACGTTAGGGACAGAAGTCAGCTGCTTTACCTCATACGTAAGTTTCCAGAGGGCATTGCTGTTGTTGACCTAAAGGATGCTTACCCAACTGTGATTGAGGACTTGCAGGTAAATGATTTCTATTTGTCGATTTCTTTTTATTTGCTTGAAAATTTATTGGCATTCACTTTTAAGTAACATTCGTATTTCTTGGGAAGTTTTGGACTTTTCATGCAATGAAACTCTATCAGGATAGTTCATGTTATGGATGACAATCTACAGGAAATTATGCTGGGTCAGTTTAACTTGAATAGACCAGAATAAGTTCAAATTTTGTCTCAATTTTTCATACTTTAGTCTTATGTATCTTAATTTGAAAGTAGTGACATGGCTAAAAGATTGTGTTCAAATATAGCTCACATTTTTACTAATGTCAACTCTGTGTCTCTGCAGCTTAGACTTTTTACATGATACTGAAACATTAAAACAAGAGCCAACTGTTTAAGTATGCTTTAATTGAAATATGCAAAGAATATAACTGCTTGACAAATTTGGTTTGCAACACTATATTCAAATGATTTGCTGTGGTGAGAGGTGATTTTTTAGCGGAAGTGAAAGTCAAAATTTAGTTGAATTATCGGTTTCTCATGGAATATGACCTTAGTTATTGGTCATTAGGCTTTGAAAGTTGCACGGGAGATTTGGCTTCTGTCCAACTTTGATTCACAGGAGGAGATTGCATATCCTAATGACCCTAAAGTGCCGATGAAGGTGGATGATGACCTAAAACTGCTTTTCCGGGGGATTGAGTTGCCTCAAGATATGCTTGATATAGAAAAGGATCTACAAAAAAATGGAATGAAGCCTGCTACTAACACTGCAAAAAGGAGGAGTGCAGCGCAAATGGAAGGAGTTTCATCCAAGCCTAAACCTAAGAAGAAGAAGAATGAAATCACCAAGAGAACCAAGCTGACTAATGCCCATCTTCCGGAGCTTTTCCAGAACTTAAACAATTCCTGACATTTGGAACTCACAGCAGGTGTTGAATGAATTCAGTGAATTGATCAATACGCAGTGATCATTTGTTGGCATACGTGTTTAGAAAGTGTTCATGTTTTTAATATGGATATGGCCCTTTTATAGCATTACGATCGGGATCAGATTCTCTCTCAAGTGTTGAAAAAACTTGACCCCGTTCGGTGTTGAGATCTCACCATTTATTTTTACAAATTTCATCTTTAAAATAAAAAATATTATATTTATTACATATATTGAATGGATAGGATTTCATGCGGTGATAAAGTCACTACATATAATCCATTCCCATTAGCTCACTGCTTCTGGTTTTGGATGTACCCAATTAATCGGACGGAAACAATATCTGAGAGTGGAGGGCACATTGCAAATTCAGCACATTCCTTCTAGGCTTTTACAGGATCGTAAAGCAAAAGGCCGGGATGGTCAGAGCCCATCTTCTGGTGGTTTTTCCCAACTAAAAGATTAGCCAAGGGACAGATGGCGGACCATGTTAGCGAACACGATCAATTAGCGGAGTGAAAACACTCAGGAGGTTCTGAATGATATCTTCTACTGTTATTAACAAATATATTTATTTTTACTTTTTATAAATTAAGGTGTAGTTCATCATTTGGGGTTTATTACTCTGCTTGATGGAATGTTGTGATCTATTGCTACTTTAATGTACACTTAAAGAGTCAAATGCACATTACATCCCTGCCCATTTCACGTTTAGTGAGCAAAAATGATACTTACACAACTGTCTACAAAAATTTTCGTTTTCTACAGCTGTTTCAACTGTTCCATGCAGCACTTTTTTCCCCTTCAAATGCATCAATTATTTCATCAACTACAGTTACTGTTTTAGCCCATGCACATCGCTTCCGAAACCATTGGACGTGCCCTTTTCAAAGCCTCAGTAAGACCTTTCCAAAAGCCTCATCCTCCAAACCTTTTTTAACTAATTTTCATCTCTTTAGCTCTGTATCAGCTTCTCTTTAGTTGCTTAACTCGTAGTTAACACTGCATCTACTGTGGCGTATAATGTTTGTTTTCTTAAATGGCTAAATAAAAGGGATTGCTGTGGTGCGCGCTTCAATGCTTCACTCACTAATTATAAGAAATGCAGTAACATGTATACAGTAAAAGCCGGGAGTTTTATTGTTACAGAGAGTTTGGACCAATAAGAACTTGGAGTGTTCAACCAGTGTTCTCTAGCACTTCCTTGGAAAACAGTATTGGTTACTAAGCCCGTTGGAGTGAAATATCCGGCATACATTTCTTTTTTGTTGGTCAAATAGTGAAGTCTACTTTTGGAGCAAGTTCAGGGGGCACTGTCTTTTACGGAAACATCAATAGTGTGGATTGAAATTTATTTCAATAAAATTTTAGTGAACTAAATTTAGGCTGATCAGAGATTGACAACGGTACAACAGCATAAACTTAAATATTCAATTTGATGCAGTGGGATAGGAAACATTCTAAAAGAACTACATTTGAAATCAACATTTGAAACAAAATTTACTTCAATACTTTAGCTTCGTCAAGATATCATATCCCTAAAAACAAAACACTTGTGTTCCTTATACTATTTAACTCATTCAACAGCCATCTTTAAAATTAACAAATCATACCAAAAGAAAAACAAATTCTATAAAAAAAATCTGTCAAATTTCTTCTTATGATGTAACTTCACTCAAATTATAATGGGTATTCAAACGCAGTACGAACTACGAAGGCAAGAGGATAGTCATACAGAACAAACTATAAATATGCAGAGACGATTTTTTTCATTTATTTCTATGTAAATTCGTCTTCTTCATATCAACTGCTGACATTTGATTCAAAAAATATAATTATATATAGGAAAAAACAGCACACTCAATAAAATTTTAAATGTATATATATATATAACAACACATGACCAATCCAGCGAGAATTTGCTTTGGTCCCTGGCATTCAGCTGAAAAATTTAGCCACTAAAGCATGGAAAGAATTTCCTTGGCATATTTCCACGGTTACGATACTTTGCAGCTGTCTCTTCTAGATCGAGGAATTCTTCCCTTTTTTGAGCTTCAACAAACGCCCTTTTCTCTTCTGCTGACCGGTGGATTTCAGCAATTTTATTCCTCATTTTTTCAACATACTCAGCCTTCTTTCTTTCCATGCTTTCCTGTTAAAACATTTTCTTGAAGTTACACTCAGATCATTGGTCAAATCACTGATGTTTGATAAAACGGGTTATACTAATGCATGAATTGACATAAATCCTTCAGTGACAAGTATGACATCTATGTTAGCTAACGACAGAAAACGTATGACATCTATGTATATGGAGAAAACCATTGCGTTTAATCACCTCAATTTTCTTGAGTTGTGCTTCTACTGATGCTTTTCTGCTATCCTCCCACAATCCAACAGCAGAGTTTTTCTTGTATGCCCTGCGTGAATGTAGAATAGAATTATTGTGTGTTAGGATCGACATTAAATATACTCAAACGTGATCCATTTCAACGTTGCAAATTATGTATGTTTGAAACATAAGCATGCCTTTGGTACGTAAACCGAACACGACTGCAGCCTTCTCGTTGAAACGTGATTTTATTGGATTTTCAAACACGCACTTTGAGATTTTATCTAGCATCTAATATTTACATCATTACATGACTAAAAAAAAATGCATCTTAATCACGGCAAACAAAAGATAAGTTTGCTAGTTTATATTCTTCAACCAACAGTTTCAGCCTTTCAGGGTGCATTCCACACTTGAAAGTCATGCAAGTCCAAATAAATCTCACAAGGCACTAAACTAACCGAGAACATTATTGATTTCTTCAAAATGTACTTTCTTAGTTCTATCTTAGTTCTGAAGAGAGTTACTCAAGAATCAACTTTTATTTATAGCCTTTCTTAATGGCAAAGCATTGTAATAACTATGGAACCAAAATAACTTCAAAATGCCAAAATGGTAGACCGACGTTTTCTTGTTAAACATGTTTTAGCTAAAAGCTAAAATAGGAGTGATTGTTTTTCTATACAATATTACAATTTAATAGTACTTGTACTAATACAGTAGGATGTCTCATTAATTGATGAAAGAGTCATTAATATTTTATTTGGGTCATGTTAGATATATCAAGAATTAATTCATTCTTGCAATTTAATTTGTTAGGTGTAGAGCTACTTTATAAGTCTCTGACACACATGCCAAAGCTCTTAGAACATAAATGATTTATATTCACAAATTTAACAAACTATCAGTATCAGATGGCCACTTGCCTGTTCTCTGCTTTCGTTTTTTCACTTTCTTCCCACGCTTTAATTAAAGCCAATCTTTTCTCAGCTACAACTCTTGCAAGCATAGCATCTGATGAAACAATATTTAAAAAGTTACCTATCTCTTGAACATTCAATAACTTAATACTAATTTTTTAGAGAATGACCTTTGTCAACTGAATCCCCCGTATCCGTTTTATCGGCATGATCTGCAACCTCTGTATGAAAAACATGGGGGTGAATGAACAGGGGTAGCATAGAATATACAAATTCTTGCATGCTTCATTTTGTTTTAAAAATTAATAACTAGGCTATTGAACTTGTAAATTATTTTTAATTGTTTACTTTGTAGATTCTATTTGAGTGCAAAGACATATTTAAAACTTTTAAAAATAAATCCTTATATCTTAACAGAATTCTAATAAGGAATTCAATTAAAAACAACTTATAAATTAATTACAAAATTTTAAAATATAGAAATTTATTTAAATTTTTAAAAACAATCCATTAATTAACAAAATATTTTAACCTTCATTGTAATGATAGAAGAATTTAATATAGAAGTCTTAAAACAACAGGAAGTAACAAAGTTACCAATAAATCAATTAGCTTCTAAAAAGTTCTTATCAATGCCCATCTTTATAGTACCCTACACCTAAAAGAAATAAAGAGTTATGAGTCCCTGAAAAGCAAGTATTACTTGCCTTTCGGTGTGCGATTGAAAGTACCAAAGACACCTCGAAATTGATTAAAAGGGAAAAAGCCTATATGGCATCCGAAAGTAGAAAACAAAGCATACTCAAACAAGTACCAAAATAAAATAAAAGCAAAGAAACATGATTTTGTAAACACAATGGATGAAATTGGTTCAAACCATAAAGAATTATATGCAATTTAAACAACCAACAAAAAAAATAAAATTGTATCAACAGGCTTTTCTGTCAAGCTTACTAAAAGTTGATATTTTAGTGTTTCCCTCAAGCTTTACATATAATTTGTGTGAAGAAGTGAGAAGAAAAGGTGCATGTCGATAAACTTACGTTGATCAACTGAAGAAGTGGTCTTCTCATTAGGGTCAGGGTTGACAACAGCGTTTGGAGGGTCGGGTGTCTCCGATTGGTTTTCCTGAACAGGGGATTGCTCTGTTTCGGGAACAGAGGGTAGTTGTGGCTCGGTTTGGTTTTGGTTTGAGCTCTCTTCTCCCATGGAGACCACAATAGAAAGTTGTTGGCGGCAACAGCAAAGCTTCGGTTATGGCAAGGATGAATTGGATGAATATTAGGACTGTTTTAAAGTTGAATATATAGCACAAGAGTTAACATAGTAGAAACTTAAAAAGTGCTCCTCGTAGGAATTTGGAAATAACAAGGTGGTAAGAACAACAACGTAAGGGAGTGGGGAAGTTTCAAGTTGGGCCCGAACAAAGATATGCGGATATTCACGCCCTTGTTATGGACTGTTGTTAGGACCTATGTTACCATATTCATTTGTATGTTTTCCCTCGTTTTTTAGCATTATGTTAGTAGAGAGATGGCTTAAGTTAACCAATTGCACTTGGTGGTCATTTTTTAATCATCCTTCACTTAGTTGCTAATATTCTAATTTGGTTTTGACATTCATAAAATGACTTGAATTTGATCCTCTTGATGTTATTCACTCTACAATCAATAAGTCAAAGATTTACTTTTTTAAAAAAAATATTTACTTAGTCTTTATAACTTTCATTCTTCTAAATTCCCAATGCTTCTCATCAATTTTCATGTAAGAAACATATTAGAGATGTAATAAATCATACTTAAACAAGAGCTTTTAAAAGACTTAGTTGTTAACTTTTTCATGAACAAAAATTATACATTTCATCAGGTGACAATATTATCTTTGATCTTTATATGGGATATGATTAAGTGTGATATCTTTCATCTTTCAACCTTACAGTTAACATTACATCAAAAATAAAAATCAAATTTATTGAAAAAATTTATCATATTTTCATATATTTTTAATGTAATAAGTAATTTCAAATAAAAATACATTCCTTTTAGTTACTTCAAATATTTCATGTTTTTAGCCAATTTTAGGTCACACTTTTAGAGATGTATGTTGTAGATGGAATTATTCATGTATAAGTATGATGTTTTTTAAGCTGCCCGTATTTTTCAATGTATGCGACACGCGTACTTTTTCTCATGCGTCATAACTTAAGAAGGTGTTTTGTTACTCCTTCACACATGTTTTGGTGGGTTGCACATAAATTAATGGGGGATTTTTTTTCCTGTTTGAGATATGAAGTAAAATAGGAAAAAAGAAGAAATTTTTGAGTGCAAGTCTCATTCTATAATTTTCTTCCTTCACACGAGAAAGTGACTTAGGGAGAGGGAATATATATATATATATATATATATTAAGTTACAATTGCAGACAAACTTAAGTTACCTTTATCAATTACATATGTGCCTAGCGTAAACAAAAACGATATATGTGTCTATTTATTTTATAATATTTTCTCACTTTTTATTCAAATAAATAAGAAAAAAGAAGAATTAGAATATTTTTCTTCTCTATTTTTTTTTTATCTCAACGCAATATTCCTTCCTATACTATTAATTTATACAAATTTTCAATTAAATTAAATAGATTAAGATTAGTTAATTTTTTAATTTTATCCTTATTTACAGTCAAACTCTATTATTCTATCAATTATTAAGAACTTAAAAAAATTCAATATAATAATAATAATTCTAAAATTTTGTAAAATTTGATAAATAATTCTAAGTCTAAAAAATTTAATATCGTTTAAGAATCAATTACTATTTTATTAGTCAACTTCAATATAAATATATTAATTTTTAAAATATAAATAAAAATTAACTATAAAAATTATATCTAGATAAAGTTTAATTTATTTTAAATTTTATATTCATGACAATTAAGATAGTATCATATAAATAAATAAACTTAAATTCTACAAAAATTATTAAAAGGAATATAACCGATGGCTTATTCAATGAGTCAATGAATCCCTTCTCAATAGTTTCAATTATAAATGATATATTGACTTAAATGATTTTATTTATAAACTAAAGGGGCATACGATTTCTTACTTGTATTTCTTGAGTAGAGTATTTTTATTTTTATTTTTGTCTACTTGTGATATGCATAATTGTTTCATCAATGATTTCAGTTTTTTTATTTGAGTTCATTTTGAAAATGGCTTATAAAGAGAAAGAACTTTAAAAATTCCTCATATTCAACATGGGTTGGCCTTTGGCCAGATGCTTGTTATATACTCTGGAGCTTTTGAGCTATGATGGGATAGCATGACGTGCTGGTCAAAAGGCTTAAAAAACCCGAAAATCCTTTATTTTGGACACATGTTCAGTTTGTGTCACAACTCATGAGTGTTTTGTTGATTTAGATTTTAGAAAATCTGTTGTTGACAAATATAATTAACATATATTGAAGCGTGTCTCTCTTAAAATATGGAGTGTTTAGTTGATTACTGACAAAAAAAACGTAATAGCTTAACATGATATTTTGCAGTGCTCGAATTGACAGAAAAACTTCGTATTTTTTTTTTATTTTTTATAAATATGAATTAGAATTCAATCAATCTACAATGATTAAACTTACATTTTGTTTATTCTAAAATCTAAAATCTTTAATCCAATAAGTTTGATAGTCAAGATTTTTTTTCCCGTTTAGACTAAAGTTCTTAACAATTATGGGTTAAGCTGTATGAAACATGTTGAAAATGAAGTTGAATCAGGCCGCACTAAATGAACCGGTATAAAATTTTAAAGGATTTTGTTAGTAAAATTTTATTTAAAAAAAAGTATTTATTATATTTTTATAATTTTAATTCATAATTTTTTTTTTATCTATGTATGCTTAAACTCAACCCTAACAAAACACAATTTTCAAACATAACCAATAAATGTATACATATTTAGAGGAGTCATTCATTCTAATGGAACAACAATTTTGGATTAGAATTATATGAACTGAAACCATACATCTTAATCTGGGGACATTGTAGTCAATCACAGTCTCCATCATGCCATAATTTAGATGGATACCACGTAAAGCCTCACAGAAGCAACCATCGTTCATTGTTTCATTGGTTCTTCTATTCTATTCTGGAATATCATGCTATGTATGTAGTGTGAATGGAACTGAAGTCGTTCGCTTTATTTAATTTTGATTTTGAGAGCATGTTATTCTGACTTTTCGGATCCATCCGTTTGATTGGGATTCCACATGTTATCCTATGCATCCATTGGCGGCGATTATTTGATTATATATATTATCTTATTAAGCGACAAAGAAATGATTTGTTCAACTCGTAAGACTATGGTTAATCTGATTACCGGTATCATTATCAAACTTCCTTACTTTTAAGAGAGTGCTGAAAAAGAAAATGCCTCTGAAAGATTTTGATTTCACTCTTCTTTATATCTAAACTCCTTATCTAATAACATTAATAAATTATATTTTAATTTATATTTTTAAATTTGAATCAAAATAAAAAAACACTTATACATGTACTTCAATTAAAAATGAGAGATGGAGGTGAGATTAAGGTTATTGAGTTTGAGAGTGGATTATTGAGGGAAAAAATGTAAGAAGGATTAAACTATTTTTAGGTGAATATATTATGAAAACTGATCATGCGAAACTGAACAAATATCCTTTTACCAATAAATAATGAAGTAACAAAATCCAGATAAGAACACTTTCACGTTTTGTGGGTTTGTGCCAAGGGAGTCAGAGGGCCGAAGCCCTAAATATTTCTTGAATATCCATATTTCGAAGCATCAGTAGAATGGCCCAAATGAAAAGAAAAGAAGCATATAATCCCCAACACGATGCTTTCTTACACTAATCCGATAGCCTAAGCCTTGGTGGTGATCTCATGTTTTTATTTGCTTTTCGGCTTAATTAATTTCTGCACTTACATTACCTTATTTGCTTTCGTTCAGTATGGTATGATGGACGTGGCTTTTGAGTGCCTGCATGAATGAACATTGAACAATTTTGTAGTGCAACTTAAATGACTTGTTGCATTTATGTGGAAAAAAAAGAGACTTAACCAATTAATTAACAACTAAATGTCTTTTTTCATTTTTACGTCTCAATCGCAGCATAGAACATGATCAAGGCGCCCAGTGACTGAAGGGAGAATGTCAACACTAGGGGTGAGCACCGATTGAGTTTGGTCGGATTCGAATGAAAAAAAATTATAAACCAAAGTAAACTGATGATAGCATATTAACTTTTATTTTTATTCAAGATATTTATTGAATTGTGCGGTTCTCGATTAACATGACAGGCGAATTTTATAAATAATTTTTTTTATTCAGAAGGTTAAGTAGAGCTTGAAAGAGAGTCGGAGAATGAAAATGATTGTAAAAAAAATGAGAATAAAAGATAAAATGTAGTGTATTTAGAAATGGAAGATGAGGAAAGGAAGAGAGATACTCTTCCTTCTTTCACATGCTTACTATTTGAAAGTAATTTCAAAGAAGAGAGATATTTTTCCTTCTCTCACCATCTCATCTATTCACATGTCTTTTTTCTTTGCCTATGGTTAGGACAATTTTTTTTTTTTTTTTTATCTTCATCAATCCTGTATTTTTATCTTTATTAGTGCACACTTTAGAATTAATATTGCATTTATTTGAATCATATCGGATAACAAAAAATATAAAATCTAAAATCAAATCCGATCGAATAAATCTATTGCAAATTGAACTTTTTAAAATATTGATCCGAAACTCACTCCAATTTACTAATTGCATGATTTTTTTTCTCAGTTGGTGCGGGTTTGGTCAGATTGTTATGGGATGTCCACCCCTAGTCAACACAATAACACAAACACAATAGGAGAGCATAAACAAAAAAAAAATAAAAAAATCTCTCAAACTTGCAAGAATGAATGAGAAACATCAACAAAATAAAGTAAAAAAAAACTAAAAAATAACACAGGAAACAAATAATTGTTAACATAAAAAACTTTTTAAAGTAACGGTAAAAAATAAAAAATCATCTAGACTAAAGAAATAATCCATTATGTTCAACAAAGGATACAAGAATGTCTCATGAATTGTATTTACAAACATTCAAAATCAAATAAAACACCAATCTTTATAAATAAGAAATAAGAATATAAAAAACTTTAATTTTAATAAAATTGTAATATCTATTTTTCTCTCTTGAGACTTTTTCTCTCTCAATCCAATGGTTAACAAATTTGCAGTTTTAATTTAAAAAA